TAATCCCCACGAGACTCTGAACTTTGTTTAGCTTAGTTCCCGTTGTTCTCCAGCATTCTAGCATTCTAGCATTCTGCTTGGAACTAGGAAGTGTTGAACCTTTTAAAGAAGTCACTTCCGGTTCCTCTGAGAACTTCCTGATTGGTCGATAGACCCAACAGGGGTGTGGTCTTAGTGATGTAAGAGGTTATTAAAAGTCAAGGAGAAAGATTAGATTGTTTAAGAACAGACAAAAAGATGTTTTGAAGAAATTAGACTTTTTGGAGTCAGTCTCCTCCTATCTGTCTGAAAAAGTTAAGCATGACATTTCTTTCCAGTAAACATATTTTTGACCGAAACTTGACTTTTGACCGACTTACAACTTGCTCATTTCAGACAGAAAATCAAAATGCATAATTACTCTTGTAACAAACATTAACTTGATTTCTACTTTGAATGAGGATTAAAAATCATTAATACTGTTTCACAGTTGATTTAAAATGAGTAGTTCACTTCAACATTTAAAATGGTTTGAACTAAACACACTTTTGATTATCAAGACATTTGCAAAATAGTAATGATAATAAAAAAGAGAGTGTTCTTTCAATTGATCAGTGCAGGACACACTTAGAAAGTCTCTGGATGAACTTAATTTTGTGTTTCTGGACTCAAATCAATGAAGTAACAGTTCTTGTCCCAGGAAGGCCCTCAGGGCCAGATTTGACCTGAGGCTTAGTTCACTACACTTTTATTTTTATTTATTTATTTTTCAAAAATTGCCATAAAATAAATATTTTGTTGATTTAAGAACTGAAATGTAAAGTTAAAAAAAACCTTAAAGAGTTAAAATATAAAAAAAGTCATTTAGATTTAATATTTTTAATTCAGGTTGAGATAGCTCTAAAGATTGACTAGTATGGAAAAATATTAGAAAATTGCAGATTTTACCAGTTAAATAAGGGGTATGATTTTCCTCTAAGAAACACAAACTGTTAGAAGGTTAACGGTACTTCCAGAGACCATCCACCAACACTGAGCATGTCTCCATTTGAATTCTGCTGTTTCTGTCTGCTTGTTTGTCTGTCTCACCAAGAGCGACAGTGATCAGGGAGTGACAGACAGAGGTTTGTAGTTACCATGGTAACCCCAACAAGCCACTTGCAGTAGCTTTTACATTACTTTGGATCTTGGTTCTCTTTACTCTTCTGCAGTTCATCCAATAAAACATCAGCATTTTGTCCATTTAGATTGTTACAAAGATCAGTGGTGGGCTTTAGAGAAGAAAACTGATGGATGTTTTAGTAGCTGTATTTTAGTTTTCACGCTCTCTTCTTTCATCAAGACTATTTTAACCATAAATCTCTGTGAATTGACCTAAACAGAATGTAAAAATATGAGTAGGTTGTCAATGTAATTAAAACATTAGGTTTATTCAAATTAAGAAGCCTTTAGAAATTATTTTGCTCATTGTCACATAGCAGCTGCTTTTATCCTATTGATGACTGGTTTAAAACAAAACTCTTTAAGGGAAAACACACAACATGTGCAGGAGAACCTCAACTTCATGTGTGAGAGGAAAGAAGGCTTGTTACCCCGGCAACAGTGAAACGTTCTGGGTCTGCAGTCGCTCTTATGAGCGAACAGGGACACCTCGAGTTTTCAGATGAATTGGAAATTTTCAGGGAGTCTGGTCTGCGTGCAGACCAGTGAAGTAGCTAAATGGGTTGGAGGTGAAAGTGCTGAGTCATGACTAAGGTTATTCAAATCTTCACAAACAGAACTCCACCCTTCAACATCTCAATCAAATGTCTGGAGTTTGTCCTACTGACTGAAGCCAAACGAGGAGAAAACAGAACAGAAAGCATATTAGACCACCACCTGCTGTCATATCAGCCATGTCCTGCTTCGACTATATTCTGAGCAGCGCTAATGAAAGATTATTGAGTGTTTCTAAATATTTTCACACATTTCAGGTTTTAACAATAGAGACGAGCTAAATCTAGAGTTCTAATTTTCACTTGTGCGTGGATCCTGGTTTCTCAGACTTAGTCAATGCAGATGTTTTGAAGTCACTGTTCCTATAGAAACACAAGGCTGAAGCAGTCTTTGCTGCTGATGCTCCTTCCACCTGAACTCAACACAGCATTCTTTCTGCTGTCTTGTATTAAACGAAATCAGCTCAGATTGATTAATATCTAAATGTGCCACGGAGTGGGATGGGCTACTCTTCCATTTGTTGATTTCCTCCTCTCTTACCTTTATTTAATACCTTCTCACCAGTCAGTCAGTCAGGTTCGACCCCACCCCCACTTCTTTTTATTCTTCAGTTCTTTGCATCACTCCAGATTTTCCCAACAGTATATAAATATAAGGTTCTGCTGGTTGTGGCAAAGACACCATGAATATGAATTGTATAATCCTGTTGTTTATTTAAACAAGTGAACAACCTCTTAGCCCACGAAAAAGGCTTGAAAATCAACTTTCTTTGCCTTTCACACAGATGATGATGGAATGGAAAAAAGAACCAGAAGATCCACTGAATCCTGAATCCTGGGCTGCCATGCAGAAACTCTCTAACTTAGTAAGTTGCTTTACTCCCTCTGCAAAATGAGCAAATCCATGAGCTTTATATATAATTCATAGCTCATCTATTCAAACTAATGCTTGTGGAAGAGGGGGGTGTTCTCCAACTAATTCGCACCTCAGGTGCCTGCAGGCACCAGGCCAGTACCTGTGGAATAAAGATGGCTGTCTTTATGAAGAATTCTAAATCTTAAATGTAAAAAATAGTTCTAATTGTGTTCAGTAGAAAAAGAACGAATCCGACGTGTTTGGTTGAAATCGAACTGCAGTCATGTTTTTTCAGATTTGAGGTTTTGTGGGAAGGAGGTTACAGCTGACTGACAGCCAGCTTTTTCTGACTGACAAAAGAGAGGAGAGAGATGCCTGTTACCACGGCAGCTGTTGCCACAGTTACTGTGTTCTGCCAGAACAGGAGCTGTGCTGCCCCCTGCTGGCTGTGAAGCATTACTGGCGTGCAGGCTCTGTAAAGGAAACCATCACAAAGGAGGTAGATGATATAAAAACATACTAATTCTGAAAAGGATATGATGTTGTATAAAATGTAAACAAAATGCAATAGATTTTATTTTGCATAATCCTATATTTAATTTACAACTAAATATAGTAAACATATCAAAAGTGTTAACTAAGAAATTACAAAATTATTGTTCTAATTTTTTGGTGTGATTTAGAATTTAGATTGCAGCAACATGTGATGAGAGGTGTAACTATGGTAACCACTGGATGTCAGTGCTGTAGTCTGGCAGACAGGAAGTAATTAAGGTTCTTCTTCTCCAAAATCAAAAATCTTCTTTTCCTTTTTCTTCGTCTTCTTCTCTTCATTCTTCTTCTTCTTTTTTTGAACCGAAATGACTAAAAATTAATCAGTTTTAGAAGTGCATCTATTGATTGCTTCCTATGAGTTTCATTAAAATCCATCATGAGAGATTTTGCAGACAAACAATCACACTTCACATGATAATTCAAAGCACGGGGTAAGATGTTAGATGAGAAAATGTTCAGAAAGGAGTGGATGAGGGGTAACAACCTCATGTCAGAATGTAAAAGAAATAACCAGAAATGCATAGTTCACACAAATGGTCACAGTTAAAAAAAAAAAACTAAACTGTACCGGAATAACTCTTGAACCATAAGTGAAGTGAGAGATTGGTTCTCATTCATAGAAAACTTCACATGAACATTGTGCATTAGGTCAGATATATGCCAAATAAAAATTACTCTTCACCATTCAGTTGGAAAGAAAAAGTTAGACAAAATTTACAGTGGGTAAAATTAGCAGCTCATGTGCTCACACTCATTCTGGGGTCACTTGAGGGTAAACCAGATACTGATCCGTCCACCTGAATCCAGCTTGCTGTCAGATCCGGTGGGCCTCTCAGTCCTCCTGGGCAGCAGGACTGCCCGAATGCCGGGCAGAATTCCTCCCTGGGCGATGGTCACTCCTCCCAGCAGTCTGCCAAACTCCTCACTGCCACAGACAGACAGCTGAAGGTGCCGGGGATGATCCCAGTCCTCCTGTTGTCACGAGCTGTGTTTCCCACCAGCTCCAGGATCTCGGTGGTCAGGCACTCGAGCACCACCGCCAGGTTGATGGGAATTCGTCCATGGCACCTCCACCACCATTTGGGATTCGGGACTGTGGTTGAGGTATTTGAGCTTTGAGATGTTAATCAGCTGCTCCTGGTTGTTAAAAAGCACCTTGTTGCCATGATTATGCATCATAACAAATGCCCAAAAGTAAAAAGGTTTCAATAAAAATCCTTCCAGCTGCACAGCATCCCATACCAGAGGAAATAATCATCTGGAAAAAGTGATTTACATCCAGAAAAAAAGAGGAAAGTTTTCAAAAGCTCAACCAGTTGTGCCACCATGCTGCTCCTGTCCCAACATTCACACAATAAAAGAGTGTGAAACAAGAACAGACACTTGAGGCACTCCACATGTTAGTGGAGTTGGAGAGGAAACACCATCATCATCATCTGTAACAAAATTTTTATGATACAACACTTTGTTTAGAAGTTGACCTGTATCTGCTGATAACTAAGGTCAGATAAAAACAGGGACAGTTCTTTTAAAGTTTAGAATATAATAAATTTATAAACCAGACACCTGAGGTGGCTCAGTTGGTAGAGCTGTTGCCTCTTAGCGAGAAGGTTGCCGGATCGAATCCTGGCCGGAGACCTTTCTGGGTGGATTTTGCATGTTCTCTCCGTGCATGCATGGGTTTTCTCCGGGTACTGCGGTTTCCTCCCACAGTCCAAAAACATGCATGTTAGGCTGATTGGTAACTCTAAATTGTCTCTAGGTGAGAGAGTGAATGGTTGTTTGTCTTATTTGTCTCCATGTGTCCCTGTGATGAACTGGAGACCTGTCCAGGGTGTCCCCCGCCTCTTGCACAGTGACTGCTGGATATGGACACCAGTGAACCCCACAACCCAAAAAGGAAGATGTGGGTAAAGATAATGGATGTATGAATGGATTATAAACACCATCATTGACAACTTTATGCTTTTTTTTCAGGCTGATGACAAGAGCTTTGACTTCAAACCTGGCTTCATGGCCTCCTTTTTGGATTTTCTGAAGACGGGTAAAAAAGAATCCAACCTGGAACAAGGACATGATGGAGGAGAAAAGCACATCCTGGACAGCAGTTCACCTCTAAATGGAGGAATAAGGCCCCTGTCACCACCTCCTCCTTCCTTACCACCATCTCCTCCTCAGCAGCCCCCAAAAAGCTTCAGTGACAAGGGGTGTGATGAAGTGGCCAACCTGGCCCTTAGCAGCTGCCCGAGTCCCTGCAAGCCTCTGGACGAGGAGCTGAAACGGAACCTGGAGACGCTGCCATCTTTCTCGTCTGATGAAGAGGACTCTGTCAGTAAGAACCAGGATCTGCAGAAAAGCATCTCCTCTGCCATTTCTGCTCTTTATGACACCCCACACTCGCTGGCTGCTGTGATGGCCTCCACCATGATCAAGGCCCAGCCCACTTTACCTCCACCTATGCCACAAGAGCCCTCCCTTAGCCCTCCTCTCCCTGCAATTCCTCCTCTCATCCCTACTGTGGAGAACACAAAAGAGGAGGCACTTATTTTCACTCAGCAGCACACAGAGGAGGAGGAGGAGCAAAGTCTAATCTCCCCACAGCCAAACAGAGAAAAACCAGCAGATCAAGGATCAGAGCAAGAAGAAGAGCAGAAAGAGGAGGACAGAGTAGAGGAGAGTGGGAATAAAGAACCACATGATCTGCAGAAAAAAGACACAGAGAGTCAAAAGGAAGAGGAAAGATCACCTGAAATGCAGTTTTTAGAAGTTCCCAAAGCTGAAGGTATTTCATTTGTTTGCCTATCCAATATAGGTAAAAGTACATTTCTGAAAACAAAAGAATTAGAATCAGAACCAGAATGCTTTTATTATTCTTGCTCAGTGAAGTACAACACAATTATTTTCTGTACAGCCGTCCTAAAGATGGACAGAAGTGTACAGGGGCCTGTAGCTTCTAAGATGTGCTGCCCCTGTTGCTTAGATAAGAAAAAGGGAAGGAAACATAAGGAGAGAGGTATTAAAAAAAGATCTCTCACACCGTGTCCTTGACAGGGCACAGTTTGAGGCATCAAAAAAAGTATACCACAGCAAAGCAACATAAAAAGACATACAGTAATACATGTGTGTGTGAGTGGGTAGGGGGTGCGGGTCCCAGCATGGCCGCCAGGTGAGCGACGCAGCCCTTTGGTGTCTTTGCATCTCCTAGGTTGCTGCGCTAGGGGAGGCAAGAGGCCAGTGGAGGCATTGAGTTTGGGGAAGGTCATAAGCACAGCACAGTCCAGATCGTTCCCCCCCCCAGCCATAGTCCTGATAAAAGGTGTTTGTTTATCATCCAACTCGGTTGAGCTCTGTCACAGGTCCACGACCTTGGGGAAGGGAGGGGGTGGGGAGGGTGACAGAGCGTCTTTCTTTCCATAATGTCCAAGGAGAAATTGAGATAGTCTGCCTTCCAAGGCCAGGTCCAGATTCAGATATCAACATTGTTTTGGGTCAGGTTGAACTCATAGAGTTCCGTGTCTGCCATAACAGTCTTGCTAGTACATTCTCTCATGGCAACTACAAACAGCAGGATTTGATTGCATATTCCAAGTAGTATGGAACACCAAAATGCTCAAAATTAAATAAACAAATAAAACATTATGAAATAAGAAAAAAAATAATTTTTATTATTTTATTTCATAATTGTGTTTTTCATGATAGCTTATTTATTTCATAATGGTGTTTTCCATAATGGCTTATTTCATAATGCCACTTTTCAGCATAATGATTTCAGCTGGCAATCAACGTCAGTGGGTTGGACCTTCACGCCCACTGGCTGAGCTTTCACATCCATTAGTTTTCCTGAATACCTGCCTACTGGTACAGCTAATGTTAATCTTGTTAAATTCAAAGAACTAAAACAGCGAGTCCTCCCACTGCGCCGATCGATTTTGATTTTTGGCAATCCATCACTTTTTGTGTATCTTCTGAGAATGTAGTCCTATCAATTTGATATGATAAAGTTACCTGAGCTGAATGAAGTTCATGCAACTCTGCCATCCTTCATGACTGTTGACCTAGCAAGTCACTGCTAGCTGCTATGCTAGCTGTACCAGTGAGCAGGAAAACGTTGGTTACGTATTGTAACCCCAGATTCTATGAATATAGGCGTAGCCCTTTAAGGCTGTCGCTTAGTGGGTTTTATCCTGTTATGCGAAGCATCACACTGAAAAGTTTAGTTCACGCCCACCTGCTGTGTGGGCCCCACCTGGTCCGTATAAGTTACGTTAAGAACAGGTAATCGGCTCCCAAATAGCTTTTTCCTTCAGCCATTTAGGAGCCATTGAGGCCCGACGCTTAAAGGGCTACGCCTATATTCATAGAATCTGGGGTTACAGTACGTAACCAACGTTCTATTTCATATAGGCTTCGCCCTTTAAGGCTGTCGCTTAGTGGGTTACGGGCGAAGCGGATGTTGTCCTCGCCTCACTGGGTCCATTCGTATGAAGCAGAAGCTTGCCCAAAAAACCTCTTGTCACTCAGCTCTCCATGTACGTAATTACGCATTGCGTAATTATGTATATCATGCACAAACGCATGCTGTGTAACTATGCGTTCTGAAAGGCATGAACGCCCCGGAAAACTTTCAACGGGGAGGGAAGATGTTGAAAAAGGGGGCCATGAACCAACTGATTCACAGCTGAACAGTATGAACAGATTAATAATAACAAGTGAACTGATTATAATCAAATGAACTGATTGGTAACAATAGTCATGAACTGATTAGTGACAATAGAACCAAATAACAGTCATAACTTGTGACTGATAACTTCTCACACTGTAAAGCATGCAGTCAGATGTGAGTTTAAACGGGGTTCCATGAAAACAATAATATTCATTCTGTTAGAGCATTAAGGACAGAATGTGTCATGGAACAAACTGTCACATCACGTAAATAGAAACGAATAAATGAGCAGGGTGTTGACACTGCAGCTGTGCGTGCTATGTAACACATCAACGCCCGCACCGGACAGATAAGATGGAAAGATGCTTCTTCTTATGATTTGTGGGGGGAGGGAAAAACCCCAATGATATTGTTCTTGATTTAAAAGAGCTTGTGATGTTTTTAGGCATAAAAGCTGGATTTGGTCTTAGATCAGCTGAGCTGATATCAGCCTGAATTCTGAGACATGATGGAGTGACAGAGAGGGCAGATAAATCACTCACTCTCTTAGCGGATGTCAAAGCCAGCAGCAGGGCTGTTTTAAGAGACACGAATTTAATCGGAACCTGATTCAGTGGCTCAAATGGAGCTTTGATCAGGGCTCGCAGGACCAGCGTTAAATCCCACTGTGGAACAAGTGGGCGTGGAACAGGCCTGTGTCTTTGTACACCTTTTAAAAAACGCTTCATCAGCGGATGATTAAAAACTGTTCTGTCTCCGAACCCTTCGTGATAGGAAGAGATGGCTGCAGCGTACGTTTTAATCGTGCTGAACACCAGATTTCTGTCCATCAGCTGCTGCAGAAAGGACAGCATGCCGCCTAGTGGACATGAAGTGGCCTCTACACCTTTCTATGTACACCAGCGCTGAAAAGCTGTCCACTTTGATGTGTACAGCGCTGTGGTAGATGCAGCACGTCTGGAGGAGAGCATCCTCCCTCCACGGCAGTTTCCACGGGCGCCCCAATAGCAGGCGGTGCAGGACTGGGAACCATGGTGCGTTAACGCGCTCGGGGGCCACCAGGAGAGCTGTCAATCCCTCCTCCTGAACTCAGTTCAAGAACCGTAAAATCAGAGGAGGTGGAGGAAACACGTAAAGAAGCGTTTTGGGCCATGGGCTGTGAGCAAACGCGTCCACCCCCAGCGGTGGTTCGTCTCACGGGCTCAGAGAAAACCATAGTTGACACTGAGCGTTTTCTCGTGTTGCAAACAGGTCCATGGCTGCTTTGCCAAATTTCTGCCACGTCTGGGCCATCAGGTCTGGATGGAGAGTCCGGTCCCCGTGACCTGGACATCACATCTACCCCTTTGTTCAGAACACTGGGTGTGTACACTGCTCTGATGGAGAGCAGATTTTGGTGTGCCCAACACAATAGTTTTCGTGAAATGTGTAACATCTGGGCTGAGCGCACACCTCCCTGCCGGTTTATGTACGCAGCAGTCACCTTGTTGTCTGTGTGAATCAAAACGTGTTGATTCTGCAGCACAGGAGCAAAGTGTTGAATCGTTCAAAACCGTGCGACACTCCAAAACATTTATGTGGGCTGATGTGTAATGGGGCCACAGCGCTCCTACAGCTTGAGATAGGCATGTCCCCCCCCAACCTGACAGTGACGCGTCTGTGAAGACTGACACGTGTGACGTGGGTCTGCTGACAGGGACTCCCTCCAACAGAACCAGGGTGTTTTCCCAGTGTCGGAGGTCTGCTCTCATGGAGGGAGGAACAGTGATCATCCATCTCTTTTGTTTTACTGGATCCACACGCAGACGCGCAAACCACCTCTGGAGGCATCTCATATGTAACAAACCCAGCGGAACCACTGTGTGAGCTGATGACATCGTTCCTAACAGTTTCATGACGGAAACAGCTGTTACCACTCTGTCAGGTCTTACGTGGCGGAGCTGGTCTTTTAGAGTGTCGATTCTCGTTTGTGATAAACGAGCCGGCATGGTGGTTGAGTTTAGCTCCACTCCCAGATAAACAATCATCTGGGCTGGAAGAATCGAGCTTTTCTTCCAATTTATGGTGAAGCCCAGATTTAACAGGTGTGATGTCAACACCTGAGCCTACATCGCTGCTTCCTGTCTGGAGCGTGACAGCAGCAGCAGGTCGTCCAGGTAAAACAAAACTCTCATCCCTGCTCTGTGTAACGGTTGCAGGGCCGTCTCCACACACTTTGAGAACGTACGAGGCGTGAGGAAATACCCGAACGGCAGCCTGTTGTACTGATATTTCATCCCTTGAAAGGAGAAACGCAGGAATTTTCTGTGTTTTGGGATGATCGGCATGTGAATCTAGGCGTCTTTCAGGTCGATGGAAACAAACTAGTCGTTTCTCTGGATGTTGTCCAACAGCTGTCTGGTTGTCAACATGTAAAATGGTCTGTCCAAGATCGCCTCATTGAAAACTGACAGATCCAAAATGGGTCTCGTTCCTCCGGTCCGTTTGGGAACCAGGAAGTAACGTGAGTAAAACCCTGTGTTTTCCTCTCTCTTGGGAACTCTAGAGATTACCTCTTTTACCAGAAGTTCTTGGACTTCTGCATTTAGGAATGAGATTTGGTCTGGTGATGACAGGACCGTCTCTAAAATTCCTCCGAACGGAGGGGGTTGGGTTGCAAATTGCAGAGTGTAACCCCTGCTTAACAACCTGGCCATCCATCTGTCTGGTGAGCACGATTTTAGCCACTCCGCATAACGTTCGTGGAGTGGACGCATGTTTAAGAGATGTGTCATGTTTTGTACAGATGTCATCCAGTCCACCGCCTCGACCGCCTTCATGTGTCGCGGGAATGTGTTCCGCGTGACCCAAGGCGAGGCTTCCTCAAAAGGGCTCTGAACGCACCTGTGTGCTGCATTCGGACCGCGGGTCCACCTTCATGTCTATGTGGACCGGTGTGTGTTGAGGAGAAGTGTGTGACAACTGATGATGCCGCGGGGCCGCGCGTTTGACGCCACTGCGGTGAAGCGCGTGTCGCTCCTGCCACGAGCGGGGTCCTGTGCTGGACTCGCTTTGAGATCTTGCATCTATGCTGACATGAGCGGGCAATCGCTGAGAAGCGGTGCGTGCGACTTCATCCA